AAGCGCAACGAAGAGGAGCAGCTCGACCTGCTGCTGCACACGCGCAGCCGATACCTCCCGCGCGAGCTCCGAGCCGCACCGCTCGAAACCAACACCTCTCTTGAGGGCGACGGGTTCATGATGGACATCGGTGCGTTTTGCACACGCACACGCACCACCGCACACGCACCACCGCACACGCACACGCACCACCGCACACGCACCACCGCACACGCAGTTGAGTAGAACGGTGCTTCCAACCTTTTTCCGTGTGCTCTGCGTGCAGAGACGCTTCTGAGCGGGGTGAGCGGGGTGCCTCCGCTTCAGTCGACCCTCCATTCCGTCGCCGCCGCGGGTATGCCCGCGGAGCTCACCAGAACCTCGGACTCCGCCGCCAAACGAAAGCGAGCGGACGATGGCCATGGTAACTCTACCAATCTTTGTGAGTGTCGTGTGCGTTGCATTGTGTCGTGTGTGCGTGTGCGTGTGCGTTGCATTGTGTCGTGTGTGCGTGTGCGTGTGCGTGTGTCGTGTGTGTGTGTCGTGTCCCGATCGTTAAGGGGTCTGTTGATTGGTCTGCAGGCAAGGACTCCAAGCAGCAGCAGAAGAAAATGAAAAAAGAAGAGACCACGGAGACCAAGAAGAAGAAGAAGACCGCCGGAGGCAAGGACTCGGAAGAGGAGAACGCCACGTCGTCGTCGTCGACGGAGCTCGACTTTGCCAATCTCATCAAGCACAAGCTGGTCGACCTCCGCAACTTCTGCCGAGAAAAAGGGATCGCTGTCCGCTCGCGAAACAAGCAGGGCTACGTCGACGCCATCGAGGCATGGCAGAAACAGCAGCCCAAACCATCGGGTACCACTACACGCACACGCACACGCACACGCACACGCACACGCACACGCACACGCACACGCACACGCACACGCACACGCACACGGTTCTGATTCGCTCGCGACTTTGTGCCTGCGCAGCGGCGGCCAAGCGCACAGAAGCGGCCAAGGCAGCGGCGACAGCAACGGCGGCAGCGCCACCCAGCGAAAAGCCGGCGGCGACGCAGGACAAGGGCAAGGAGAAGGTGGGAGACGCTGCGCCCACCACCAAGGCGGGTGAGGCGGAGGCCAACGGCGGCAAGCTGCCGCGACCACTCGACCGCATCACCCGCCTTGCCCTTCTCGAAGAGGAAGGAGCGGTACGCCGCCTCAACACCCACCAGTGGCGCGTTCATGGTCGTCACTCGTATCTCCTTCTTATGCGTGTCGTGTGCTGTGTCGTGTGTGTCGTTGTCGTGCGTGTCGTGTAGGAGGAGGACGAGGAGGAGCAGGAACGTAACAAGAGCCGAGTGTTGAACGAGGACGACGAGGAGGACGAAAACGACTACAACGAGCGATACGACAGCGAAGCCGAGGAGGAAGACGACGACGACGATGACAACGGTACCATCGCCCGCCTTCTCTCCGCTTTCGTTGTTCTTCTGTCTTTCTTTCTCTTTCTCTCTCTCCTGTACACATCCATACGCAAACTGACGCGTGTGCGCTGGTACCGCCAACAGAGCCGACGTTCTAGGCCCGCGCCCAAGCGAACCAAAGCGAAGACGTGGCGAGCGCACAAAGAGCGAACTCGCGCATAGAATTGAAATGCAGAGCACAGCACAACAACAGCAGCAGCAACGACGCAACGCGGTACCTACGGTCGGCTTAGGTGTCGGAGTTGATGGGGTGGTAGCCGGCGTTGAAGGCGTGGAGTCTCCTCCTGTAGAGCCAGACAGCGATGAGGCTCACGATGATGAGCGCCGTCAGGCCCAGGCCGAGACCGAGGCCCAGGAACAGGACGCTGCTGTCGTCGTCCTCCGGCTGGGCGGCGGGCGAGGGCGACGCCGAGTGCATGGTGGGCGAGGGCGATGCCGTGGTGTTGGCCGGGTGCGGCGAGGGCGACGCGGTCGCGTTGGTCGGATGGTGCGGCGACGGGCTGGCTGACGCGCCGACCGGCGAAGGCGACGCTGTCGTGTTGGCTGGGTGGTGCGGCGAAGGGCTGACGGAGGCGCTGGCCGGCGAGGGCGACGCTGAAGCGTTGACGGGGTGGTGAGGCGAAGGGCTGACGGACTCGGCGACGGGCGATGGGCTGGCCGGCGAGGGCGTGGCCGAAGTGTTGGCTGGGTGGTGCGGCGAAGGGCTGACGGAGGCGCTGACTGGCGAGGGCGACGCAGAAGCGTTGACTGGCTGGAGGGGCGATGGGCTGACCGACGGGTCGACAGGCGAAGGGCTGGCAGACGCGCTGACGGGCGAGGGCGTGGCGGAGGCGTTCTGGGGCGGGGGCATGACAGAGGGAGAGGGCGAGGCTGTCGAGTTCACCGAGGGCAGCGGCGACGGGGGCTCCTGACGCTGCAAAGACGAAGTCTCAGAGTCGGAGAGCCGCACACACGACACACAACACTCCACCGCACACGCTCACACCGCACACACGTAAAAAAAGGTACGCCCAACACAGAAATCTACTGATTTCAGAGGAGAGAGAAAGAGAGGTGGTACCTTGTGGATGGTCGCCGCGCTGGCCAAGCACACCGCCGCCACCAGCAACAGGGCGGAGAGCAGAGAGAACGAAATCCACTTCATGGTTCAAGTGTTGAGGGAGTGGTGAGGCGGTGTACACGGGCTCCGAACCAGGGTCGTCTTTCCGTGAGGGGGCAGAGAGAAAAGAGAGAAAGAGCTGAACACTTGTCCACCGTGGACTTGACTCCAGCAGCAGCCGCGTGGAGTTTGTTTCATTTACCATAAAGCGTAAAATTATAACGAAAAAGGAAAAATGAAATACTTGGTGAAAAAAGGAAAATGATGAAGGAGAGGAAGATGAAGGAGAAGAAGATTACAAAGTGCTGGCGTGTATTTGCCAAACAAGCGGTGAATATGATACGATGGAGAGAAAACCGGAAAAGGGGTTCTGGGCTTGGGCTGGCCCAACGAACCCAGAAGCCGGGACAAAACTGTTGAGGGAGGGAGAGAGAAGGGGGTTGTGGCCAGCCACCGCGGGACGTTGGGCGCGCAGAGCCTTTAGATGGGTCGGGTGTAGTTGATCGGGTAGAGGCCCACCTGGCCGTCATCCGTCGAACCATAGGCCCAGCCCTCGTACTCCTTGATGACGGTGATGATGGCGCCCTTCACCAGCACCAACCTATGGCCGGACAAACAAACAGACAAGACAAGACATCAGCAAAAGCAAAGAAGAGAAGAGAAGAGAAGAAGTGTGGCGCGCGTACCGCTGGGCGTCTCCGCCGCCATCGTAGTCGTACACGACCTCCACCTGCTTGTACTCTTCGGTCGGCTCGGCCGGCAGGTCCTGCTGCTGCTGCTGCTGGCCGTAGTCGGCGCCGCCGCCATAGGCCTGCTGCTGCTGGTCGTAGCCCTGCTGCTGCTGTTGCTGCTGCTGGCCGTAGTCGTAGGAGGCGGTAGCCGCAGCGGCCTGCACGGGCGCGGCGGCCTGTTGCCGGGCCGCACCGGCGGGCTGAGCCTGCTGGCCGGGCTGAGCGCGCGCCTGCGCCGGACGGGAACCCGCACGGATCACGCCCTCCGTGTCGTCGGCGATCAGCTTCTCGGGCACGAAGCCCTGCGGCACCACCGACGTGTCGACCTGGGTCGACTGGTTGAGGTCGATCTGTTGGTGGTGGTGGTGTCGGAATCGAACGTCAGTACATTACAATCGCTTGAGCACATGCGCGCGCGCGGGTGTCGAGAATGGCGTACCCGAGTCACATATTGCTTGGCGGCGAGGATCTGCTCCACATTAGGCGCCGACGTGCGCTTGTCGCCATACTGCGTGTCGTGCAACATCTGAAGAGAGAACAAGGAATGAGTACTCGTGCGCACACAGTGTTACGCACACGCCGCACACGCCGCACGCACGCACGCACGCACGCACGCACGCACGCACGCACGCACGCACGCACACACACAGAGAGAGAAGGTCGGAGCGGGTTACCTCGATGTACTTGTCGTCCTTGCCCTTGGCGGCGAGGAACATCTCGAGGTAGTTGGCGAACTCCTCCGACGGCGGGAAGGTCTGAAGGCAGCACCGCATGAGCTGCCAGCCCTTGGTCACCGACTGCGGCGACGGGTTCTCGGTCAGCTGCTTGATGATCTGGCAGTACACCTCGTTCCTGAGCTCCGGCGCCGCCAGGCACTGCTCCAGCAGGTCCTGCGCCAGCGCATTCGGGTACGGCAGCGGCCTAGTAACACAGACGCGCGCGCGAGTGAGTTCGCATTGAAGCTGAAGCGGGTGTGCGGCTGCTGGATTGGGTTTGATGTGTACCTGTCGCCCATGAAGCCGAGCACGTTCTTGAAGAGGCGGGTGGCGCTCTTGACGGCGAGCTGGTCCAGGGTGGTGAGCGAGGTGGGGATCGGGCTCTTGGTCCACTTGAACATGCCCAGCTTGAGGGCCTCCCTGCCCAGGAGCTTGGCCTTGGCAAAGTCCTCGGGCTTGCGCAGGCCGCCGAACTGCTCGAAGACGAACATCTTGCCGAACTGGCCGAAGAAGATCTCCTTGAGCTTGATGTTGAGTCGAATGGCCCTGGCCTGATCGCCCAGCCTGCAGCCAAGCAAGTTGAACGAACGTGTGAGTTTCCATGGGCGCCACATCGATGGCGCTGAGGCAACCGATTGTATTACCTGTTGGCAGTCTTGAGCTGCTCCTGGATGAACTTCTGCTCGTCGTTGGCCAGAACGTTCCTGACCTCGTCGATCTGCGCGGTCTTGAGGTTGATCTCTTGCGCGCCCTGTTCAACCGCCCCGAGCAATCACCAGTCAACAACCACAAAACAACAACAACAACAGCGATGATAGAGAGTGAAATGTATAAGTACCGCCCAGGCGCGCTCGAGGGGCTCCTTCTCCATGTAGTAGAGACCGACATCGGCGTCGTGGTTGATGACGTAGATGCGGTCCAGAAGCTGCTGGGCGGTGGGCACCTCCTCGCGGGTGTAGGCGAAGGAGGCGGCGTCGGCGAGGGCCGTCTCCAGCTGGGCCTGGTCGACGTTGGTGATACCCTCGCGCAGCAGGGCGCGCGCGTTGACGATCCTGTTCAACAGCTCGGCAGCTGCAACAGCAACACACCACCCGTCAGCATTCTTGTCATTGTCATGGTCATCGTTGTCGTAGTTCGTGCGGGGGTGGGCGTACCCTGCATCATCTCTGGTCGGTCGGTGATGCGCAGGGAGTCAGCCTGCTGGACGCCGTAGTCGAGCATCTCCTGGTCGTGGTCCTGGATGGCCTGCACCACCTTCTCGATCAGGTCGTTCACGGCCGTGTTGTGCGACAGCTCCTCGTAGGCCTCGTCTGTACGACGACACCGCACGACCGGTCAGCACAGCCGAAGTTGAAACATACGCTCGGCGTGCGTGCGTGCGTGCCAAAGGCGGGCGAGGGGTGCGTACCGATCTCGGTCTTGGTCGACTGGGACATGCTGTTCTTGTTGAGGGTGGTGGTGGCCTTCTTCAGGGTCATGGACAGCGACTCGTAGTCGTCGGCGGCCAGGTGCTGTCGCACCTCGACGATGACCTTGGCCTCGTCAAGGGTGAGCCGGCCCTGCTCGGTGCGGAAGCCGAAGGACTCGGCGGCGTAGATGGCCGACCCGAGCGTGTGGGCGTCGATCGCGGCGTGGTCCCACGTCGTCTCGCTCGTGCGCATGGCCATGCCGACGGCCAGCGCGTTGAGGAGCTCCGCCACCAGCTCCTCCTCTCTGTAGATACGCTGCAGCTCCTGCCGGCCGGCCGCCAGCGTCGGCTCGCTCTCCTCGAGTCCGATCTGCTCGGCCCTCGCGATCGCCGCCTCGAGGTCGACGCGCACGGCGCCATCCACGGCCTGCTTGAGCTGCTCCCTGGTCTCAACGCGCTGGGCGATCATGTACTTGATCTGCTGACCGGTCTCCACGAGCGGGGTCGAGTAGTTGATGCTCTCGGCTTCGGTGAGCACCGCGCACAGCTGGGCGTAGAGCGGCTCCACTTGCAGGTAGGTCTGATGATAAATACCGATACAGACGAGTGAGCCGTGTGTGTGCGCGCGCGCGCGTATGCGTGCGTGCGTGTACCTTGTGGTTGGGCGGGGCTCCGATGTAGTCAGTGAGCTTCTTGGTGATTTCCATCTCCTTCAAGATGACGCTCCTGAGCTCCTTGCAGTCGCGGATGAGCTTCATGTCGAACTCGATGTCCTTGGCGGCATCGATGGCCTGCTCCAGCACGCTGAGCGAGCGCGACTTGATGGCGTTGAGCAGCACCGGCTTGATGGCGCGCATCCTCTTGTAAAGGCGCCTGGCGAACATCCGCCGCACGCCGGCCTGAATCTGGATGGTGACTCGCTCCACCGCAATGTTGCGCTGCAGCTCGAGACCCCGCTGCTCCGGCGCTCTGTACAGCACCCTCGTCTTACCCACTGCACACCAACCGCACCCCAGTGAGTTTCCAACACCACACACACACACACACACACACCCCGACGTTCGTACCCTGAACCTTGGACCAGTCGCCCTTCATGCTCTTGAGGAGGAGGTCGCAGTTCTGCTTCAGGTTGGGGCCGTATCTCTTGTGGATGTCCTTGACGAGGAAACCATACCGCTTGAGGAAGTTCTCGTGCGAGTAGCGGAACGGGTAACCGGTCTGACGGATGCGGACGGCCTCGAACACACCGGCGTAGCGGAGCTGCTGCAGCGACATGAAGCCGTGGAAGAGATCGGCCTGCTTCTCCGAGTTGGGCTTGATGCACCTGTGGCGACGACATAGCTAATGCATTAGCACACGACACACAAACAAGGCTGAAGACACGACACGACACGCGACACGCGACACACGCATGGAGAAGAGCTAGACCTGATGTAGTGGGGCTCGGTGGCGTTGAGGGCGGTCATGAGGCTGTCGAGTTGCTTCCTGAACTGACCACCGAGGGTCACCTTGGAGGTCTTCTGGTCGCCCTCCGAGGGCGGGAAGAGGACGTTCATCAGCTTCTGCTTGCTGCTCTCCGAAAGGACCAGCAGATCCTTCTGCAGGGTGTCCTTGTTCTTCTCGAGCATGCCTGGCGACGCGATATCGACGAGCCTTGTTAGCTGTGGTGTGCTAGCACAAGAATGTGGGAGGGAAGATGTACCTGTGGAGTCGTAGATGACGTCACCGGCGTAGTGCTTGATGATGAAGTCGGTCCTGCTGGTCCTCACCTCCTCGTAGTTGGCGTGCTTCTTGCCGCCGTGGGTCTGGTTGGCCTTGATGAAGAAGGTGGCGTCGCTGGACTTGGGGATGGAGATCTGCTCATCGAGGACGAGCATGAGGCCCTGCGGCTGCTTCTTCTCGATCAGGTCCAGCACCGGCTGGTTGTCGATGAAGGTGATGTGCTCGTATTTGACCTCCTCGGACTGGTACAGCTTCTCCTCGAGCTTGAACGTGTACTGGTTGAAGTGCTGCTGCAGCTTCTCGTTGGTGAAGTTGATGCAGAGCTGCTCGAAGCTGTTCTTGTCGAAGATCTCGAAACCGAAGATGTCGAGCACACCGATGGTGGTGGTCTTGGCGCCCTTTTGCGGCTCCATCGACTCGTTAATCTTCTTCACGAGCCAATCGAACAGCTTGGAATAGATGGCCTGTGGAGAAAGGTGGTGTTAGCAATCAGCTCTGCGTTGCGCTGCGCTGCGTTGCGCTTACCTTGGCCAGGGCGTTGGTCGCGTCGGTGGCCTGGACGGGCGTGAGAGGAATGCGGGTGGGATCGCAGCCCTTGATCTCCATCAGCTTGCTGGTCACGTTCTGCTCCAGGGTGGCCGGATCCACCTTGAGCAGCGTCGCGACGATCTTCACCTCCTCCCTGTTGGCCACGGTGGAGGTCTCCACGTTCTTGCCCTGGCCCGACACGAACTCGAAGTTGCCCAAGTGCAAGATGGCCGAGATCAGCTCCATGCAGTTGTTGATGTCGTCTTCCGAGAACCTGTCACAGTACACAAGTGTTGGTTAGCAAGTCGAGATGATTGAAGTGATGAGGACTGCACGCGTACCCGAGCTTGCCCATGGCAAAGAACACTTCCTCGAATTCCTTGACGTCGTCGACTCCCTCGACGTCAATGCAGCCCGACTGGCTGAGGAACTTGAAGGATTCGGGCGGGCCGGAGACGAACCACCTCCGCCTCTGCTCCGCGGTGGCGCCCTTGACCAGCTGGTAGAAGATGTGGAAGTTACGCTCGCCCTTGATCTGGTACACGACGCGCGACTTCTCGAGCAGATAGTTGATCGTCGAGGCACCGCAGATGGAGCCCTTCTGATCGAAGTGGATCTCCACCCACTTACCGAAACGCGAGGAGTTGTTGTTGCGCAGCGTTTTGGCGTTACCTGATCGATGTGAAGAAGAGGAGGCATGAGGCCATGTACGAAGATAGAATGTGGAATGTGATGACGCATACCGAACGATTCGAGAATGGGATTGGCGAGCAGAATGTTCTGTTCCACTCCATTGGTCGAGCCAGCCAACTCGGCGAAGTAGGTCAAGCACTGCTTGGTGCACTCGGTCTTACCAGCGCCAGACTCGCCGGAGATCAAGATGGACTGCGCGCCATACACGCATCGTTGTCAACATTCGATCATCTGAGCTTCACGCGCAGAGCCAGGCAGGCGAAGTGGTGTGGTATGCACCTGATTCATACGATTGTCGATCATGGCCCTGTAGGCGTCATCGGCGATGTTGTAGGTGTGCGGAGGCATTTCCTTGGTACCCTTGTGCATGTACTGGTCCATCACCGTGGGGGTGTACAGCGGCAGACGCTTGAAGGGATTCACAGAGATCAAGATCGTACCAATGTTGGTCTGCACACCGCGAGGAGGAAGGCAATCGATTAAAAATCAACAAAAAAGAAAATAATAAATTTAATATAATTTAATTTATGAGAAATTAATTAATATTTGAAATAGAATGACAATCAATCGCGCAAAAGAAGCCCGGTAACCGATGAAGGGGAGGCGTACATAGATTTGATCGTTCTTGAACCTCTTCCTCAAGTTGTGGACGATCATAGCCTCGTTAATGTCGTCCATTTGCACGAGATCGTCCACACTCTTGTCCAGTACAGACTTGGCGACCTTGGCCAGCTGTGAGGGCGCACACGCCACGCTCAAGGACTGGTGTGTTGTGCATGACACCACGCAAAGGCCATGAGTGAGTGAGCGAGCACAACCAAAAAGCAGAGAGCCGTAATCAACGTTGTGATAATCCGCGCTACTCAAAATGAATCAAGGGCTCCTCACCTCGCCCTCTTCGGTCTGGCAGTAGGAGGTGCCACCGTAGTCCTCTTGAATGAACTTGCCTGTGATGTAGCCATGGACAGGGTGGGGAATCCACACGAACTCAGCCTGAGGGCATTTTAATGATAGAAATTGGCGATTAGCAAAAAAAACAAAAAATGCATGAGAATGCGCTCGACTTGGGCAGGCAACGGGGATGAGGGGAAGGGAGCTGGAAGAAGGGAGGCTTACGTTGTAATCATGGCTCTGCAAAGAGCTGGGAGGGTCCCAAGATGTCTCTCCCGACACTTCATTGTAGTAGTAGGCGTTGCCCTCAGCAGTGAAGTACTGCTTCCAACCATCTACTGACGCCATCTTATGAGCTGCGCTTGATTTTGGTTCGGTTGCCGGGTGGGCTCTATGTGTCCTAGTGTACAGGAAAAGATCTTGTGTGCTCTCAAATCTAGATTGGCTGCAGATTTCTAATCGTTCGTTGGCACCAACGCAGAAGAAGATGAGCAGAGATTGAAGATGAGAGAAGAGCTGCCGTGATGATTGTCAATCGTGTGTGGCGTTCGCTGTTGTGGCGGCGAGTTTAGTGGTAGGACGCAGGCCAGTTGGTGTCCAGGTACCGGAGTCATAACTAGCCAACCCGAACTATCGTAACGACGGTGAAGAAGTGGTGGCCGATTGGTCCGTACAACACACGCCCAAGAACCACCAAACCAAACACCGCTGCCTCTGTGCGACATCGCGCAGCAGCCGCATGTGTGGGTCGCCCGAAGAAAGTTGTGGTGCATACCAGCTATGATCTGGGACGGGTCCTGCACGGAGCAGGTACCACAATCCCACCACACACCAAGCAGCCCTTTCCAGCTCAGCTTTCGAGCGTTGCCGAGGGTGCCGCTGAATTAAAAGTGAAAAAGAGAAAATAGACGAAATATATCATTGGTTTCTTTTAATTTTTGCGACGATCACCACAAGCACGGTTGCCCGCAGCAGAGAGCGTCGGTCGCACCACAACACAACAGCACCGACGACCGTTACGGTCTCCGCGAGAAGCTGTTGTCAGTGTCCGCTGAAAAACCAAACACCCCACAACGCGCGGAGAAGGCGTGTGTGCGACGAACGAACGCGAAAGGCCGACTGCAGCGCGCAAGATGGAGGGAGGGAATGGAAAGGACAACCAGGAGGAGTTCGAGTTGGCTCGGGCCAACTTTGAAAAGACGTCGTCCGTCCTCGAGAAGCTCATCAAATCCATCGCCAAAATCTCTGACTCATTCAAGGGTTCGCAAAGCTTAATCCCCCCTTGCGCGATTGATCCCCCCCCGGCTCATACCACACGTGCCCTGTGCGCAGTGTCGATGTGGGCCGTGATCGACCTGTCGGAAGTGATGAAAGAATTCCTTGGGGCCGGTCCCTCCATCGAGCTCGAGGACTCCATGAACGAATACATGGTTCCTTCCTTCCCTTTGCGCTGCACTTTTGTCTCGGCAGCAACAATCTTTTTGAGCGTCGCTCTTCGCTCTTTTTGGCTGTCGCTTTCGTTCTCTTCTTCGCTTTCGCGTTCGCTTTCTCTCAATTTTTTTCATGCACACCTCACTTGCGGGCTTCTTTTGCGGTCCGCGACTTCGACTTGCTCACCCCTGCGCTTCACTTCATGTGACACAGAAAGAGGTCGCCGATCAGGTGAACAGCATGAATGTGTTCTACGAACAGCACAAGGCGTTTCGAGTGCGTGTCTCCTCGCTGCCCCTATCCTTTCTTCGCCGTACAGGATCCCATTCATCCGCCTCACACCCACAACACACAGACGAAGATCGAGCACCGCGAGAAGCTCAACCAACAAAACAAAACCGCTAGCAACGCCAATGGAGTGAAGGTGACACCCGCCTTCTTAATCGAGCGTGGCGAAGCGGCTCTCTCACAATCAATTGATGTTTGTTATGTGTGCGGCATATAGACTCGTGCGGCGCTGGACGAGTTCGACAAGCAGCTGAAGGACGACTTGGTGAGCCACCACTACTCCCGATACCGGCGAGTCGCTCCTGAGCTTCACAAGGTTTGCTCCAATACGTGCCTTGAGGTGCAAACCAGGAGGGGCGTCGAGTTGACGCCGCCTCTCTCTCTCTCTCTCTCGCACTCTCTCCAGTATGTCCAAACGCAGATGAAGCTCTTCAGCCGCATGAACGAAAGCCTGAGCGGAATGAGCGAGTTCTTGGCGAAGAAGTGCAGAGGTGAGGAGGACTTGGATTGGTACGGCGCTCCATACATTCTCTGCATGTTTGGCATTCCTAGCTCACCCGTATTGCCCCACCTACAGGACGGTGGGCAGGAATTCGCTCAAGAAGAGCTCGCGGCGAGACAAGAGCCTGGGAAACTCCGGCGGCGCGGTGCCCACCACCTCGCTATCGTCCTCGCGCTCGGCCACGTCTCACTCCCCGCCGACGCCCTCGTCGCCCGTGCCTCCGCCTCGTGTGCGCCCGGGGACCGTGAGCGCCCGCGACCCGCCGCCCGTTCCGCCCAAGAACCGGTCGGCGACGACGGCCAGCCGCAGCCACATCGGTGGCAAGACGGCCACCGTCCCGTCGTCGCTCGCGAAGATCTACCGTCGGTCGGTGTCGCAGCAGAACCTGGTGAACAAGAAGCTGAGCGAGCTCGGCGACGACGAGCCAGACAAGGAGGAGCGATCACACTCGGTGGACGACGGCGAGAAAATCGGCGACCTCCGCAGCATGCTCGTAGACTCTGGCGTCTCTTCTTTGTCAAGTGCGTACCCATTGATGGTCGTGTGTGTCGTGTGTGATCGTCATCACTTACCGTCATCATCTTCATGCAGGCTCAGAGAAGAAAGTGACAATTCCTGCACCCTCATATCCGCGTCCTCAAGGCGTCGCGCCTCCTCCATCGCGGCCCGTCTCCACACAAGGTTCGCAACTTCTCCCACATAGGAGACCGTAACGTTTTCGTGAGACTCGCCAGCCACCAACTCAGTATGCTGACTCGCTCACTTCCCATTCGCAGTGACCAAGGAGGACGTTGAGGCCGAGCGCAAGAAGGACCCGACCAAGTTCAGGCGGCAACCGCCGCCGCCCGGTGGCCCGAGGGGTCCTCCCACCTCCGGTCCCTTCGGCCTCCCCTCTTCGCCTTCGCTCTCTTCGAGTCTCATCTCCTCGGTCGCCATTCCCTCGCTATCCGGCACGGCATCGGCCCAGTCGTCGGAGGAGCACGGCGGCGGCTCGCCGCCGGTGTCCGCCTCTCCGCCGCCCATTCCGTCGGCGCTCAACAAACCAAAGAACACGCTCTCGCACGCCCTGGCAAGTTCAGCTGATTCCGATTGGGCGCTCCAGCCTAGGTTCGTCCCCCAATCCACTGTCGCTTTCGTTCTTCTGGCCTGGCCTCACACCACCCGTGTGACTGTGCAGAAAGGCCAAGGGCACTACCGGAGTGCAGCCCACGGTGGTGGCCGAGAGGCGGCAGTACTGGAAGTCCTTGGACGGCAGGCCCACCCTCTAGACCCGCCGCTTTGTTTCTTTCTCACCTCTGCGCGGTCCTTTCCTCTCAATATTCGTTCTATTGTATTCGTAACCCCCTCCTCCTCCCAATTCTTTCTCTCTTTCCTCTCTTCGCTGGCAGTGCTTGTGTGGGTGGCGAGGCCCGTGGACGCGTGCTGCATGTTTACATGTATGCTTTTCATTTTCATATATATAAAGTGATTATTAACAGCATCTTCGTCGTTGCGCGTGTGCGCGCGACACTCCCTCTCTGTACATTCGTCTTCAAGAAGGTGGCCAGACTCGTTCGTTCGTTGGTTCTTCTAGTGGCGCGCGACGTGCCTGCTGGAGCGGCGACGAGCTCCCTCGTGGCTGAGCGAGTCGTAGACCGAGTTCTTGTCGAGCAGGATCGTGGCGCCGCCGCCGCAGTGCTCGTTGTTCTGGAGCTCGACGGGCACGAGCCAGTTGGGCACGCCCTGGGCGCGACGCTCGGCCTCGGAGGCGAAGAGCAGGTCGGCGTGCTTGCGGTACTCCTCGTTGGGCTCGCTGAACTCGAGGCGGATGTAGTCAGGCGTCAGCTCGACGTGGCGGAGGGCCGACCGCTCGTTCGAGTTGAAGAAGATGTTGCGGTACAGGTCGCGGCTCACCGGGGCCAGGCCCACCCCCTCGCTCTTCTTGCCCGCTGCACGCTTTCGGTCGCGCTGGGGCTGGTCGTGGGTGATCAGCTTTTCTCGCAGGAAGCCGAGGGTGTTGGTGTTGACGGCGCCGAGGAAGGTCGAGAAGGAGGAGCGCTGCTGCGAGGCCAGCAGGGACGCGGCACGAGATGAAGACGTCGCTAGGTTGCCCATCGAGCTGGAGCGGGCAAGCGAAGCAGTCGGCACTCGTTGCATTGTTGTGTGTAGTGAAGAAAAAAAGATGTGTTGTAGTTGATGTGGAAGGAAGATGGAGAAGAGTCGAAGTGGAAGGTTGTAGTGTGGGGTGGTGTGTGCTAAACGAAAGTTGCAAAGATTCGAGTTGTAAAGAGTGCAATAGCGGAGCTGGATGTGTTGCTGAGTGAAGTTTCAATGGGTGTGGGTTGGGCAGCCGATGGTTGGTGTTGACTTCCTTCCAAGCTCGGTGTGTACGTGTGAGGTCGCGTGCAGTTGGGACGAGTCCGTGGGTGAGAGTGCTGAGAGTGCGGTGAGGTGGGTGGATGGAAGAACAGAAAGGACAATCGGTTGGGGGTCCAGTCGCGGTGGCGCCTCCCCATAAATACCTGCCGCCTGACACACATCACAGCGCCTCTTCCACACCACTTCCTGAAGGAGGTTTGGGCCAACTCCGATCCCAAGTTATGGGATTTCCCAAGTCCAGGCCATCCCAGGCATCACTGACCGTCTCCTCCGCCCTCCTTTCCTTGATCAGTTCTCCTTCTGCCGCCCACACCTGGCGAGTGGGCTCCGCTTGGGCTATTCCGCAGACAGCGGACCGTTCCGTGGTGGCGATGGCGCATTCTTGGGATAAGATGGCAGAGTGTGACCACACTTGCAAGTGCCACACATTCCTGTGTGCGCCTCCGGACGTTGCCAGAGAGGCCAAGCTGTTGGTGCTCACAGCGCACCCTCCTCACAGATGTTGCTTGCCCTTGTACAGCTTTCTTGTGCAGCTTCAGAGCCGGCATGTGCACAGTTTAAGCCAATACAATTCATAGCAACCACCATGATTGAAGAGTGTGAACAGCCAGTTAGTCGAAGGGGTGTGGTGGCAGGATGAAGGCTGGTCATTTCGGAGTCTGCTGGTTGCACAGGGGAGTTTCAGACCAGGATCTGAAATTTCAATTTTCATAACAGCTACTCCGTGCTGGCCAACCGCGTCGTTTGTACAACGCGAGGCGAGGCAGCAGAGAAGCGAAGCCAGCGAGGCGCGAGCTAGCCGTTCATCAAACGAGGGTAGAGGACGCGTTAGTTGAAAAGAACGACGCGAAGAAAGGGAACCTCTTCATCGTTTTTCATTCTTCGTTCGCGTAGAGAGGAGAAAGAAAAAGGAGGAAAAAGAGGGCCTAGAGAAAACGAGACCTACAATCTGTCAACCAGCCTCGCCATCCTTACCCTTCCTCTTAATCTTTTTCCTTTCTCCCTCCTCCCCTTCTCTGCCCATTCCTCGGCCGATTAGATTGACTTCAGCAGTCAATTAATTACTTCATCGAGAACCCTCAATTTCATTCGACGTCGTCGTTGTCGAAGGCAAAGACAATGGCAGACCAAACAACGAAAGGAGGCCAGCAGCGACTGAAAATCGTGTGCATTGGCGAAGCTCGCACGTCCTACAAATCGGAAATCTTGCGGCGCTACCTGCGCACCAATGCGGCCCTCAAGCAAAAGCTCTTCACCGCCGAGGTCGGCGCGTCTGCGACGGCGGCTGCACCGACGCTCACCAATACGACCGATCCGCACAAGAACGTGGTCTTCGAAGGCGACGTGGCGGCGGCAGAGGGGAGTGCCAAGGCCGTCTCCGTGGCGGTCGAGATCGTCGATGCCGCACCAGAAGATCACAACCGTCTGTTTGCCTACCCCAGGACCGACCTCTTCCTCATCTTCTTCTCCATCGACGACCACGAAGCCCAGAAGCACCTTCTCACCCGCGTACGTAGGATCTCACCCTATCATTATTCTTGTGTTTTCTGTTTTCTGTTTTTACAATTGATAATGCGAAGATTATTTCCTTACTTTTAAATCAAAATAATCAAGTATGTGCTTGCAAGCACATTTTCAAGATATATTACATTGCTTCTATATTGCTATTGATTTGACGTTGCGTTTTTTTCAATTTTAACTTGGTGCTCTACCCCTATAGTGGATTCCCGAGCTGTCGCAGCACTGTCCTGGCACTCCCTACGGCCTCGTGTGCACGAGCACAGTCCTGCGCACCGCGCGCTCCAATCACATGACCCTCGTTCAGGTGCGTTCTTTCTCTCCCATCCATGCACCTCTGCACCCGCGCGTCGACCCAACACAATTACTCACTTGTAACGTGCACAGGGCAAGGAATTGGCCAAGAAGCTGAAGGCCCACCGATACTGGGAGCTCGGCTACGGCGCCAAGCGCAGGGCGATGACACTCACGCCGCAGATGATCGCGCAGCACCAGCAGCAGCAACAGGCGGAGGGCGAGGAGCCCGATGGAGGCGTGGAGGCGACCAAGGACGAGAAGGCGCTCGATGAGGAGATCCGCGTGCTCTTCGCCGAAGCGACGGCGTCGGTGGCGTTCCCGTCGTCGAAGGAGGCCAAGGACCTCAACAAGCGCAAGAAGATGATGGAGAAGGTGAAGAACGAAGTGTCGACGGCCGTGAGCGAGGGCAAGACGGAGATCTCCTTCCGCAAGCGCGGACTGGACAACACCCACGTCCCCAAGAACATGGGCAAGTACATGAAGGAGGTCAAGAAGCTGGTGCTGAGCGACAACAAGCTCTTCTTCTTCCCGATGGCCGTGCTCGACATGGTCAACCTCCACACGCTCGAGCTCAAGAACAACGCGCTCACGCACCTCCCCAAGGAGATCACCCGCCTCACCAACCTCAAGAAGTTCGACCTCGAGAACAACCAGCTCACCTCCCTGCCAGGTTTCTCCCTCCCTCACCAATCGCGCACAGTCTTCGGAGACTGACCGCTGAGCGCGCGCGTGTGTGTGTGTCCAACTAGGCGAGATGGGCAGCATGACGCAGCTGGAGGAGCTGAAGCTCAAGGGCAACTTCCTCGACGGCTTCCTGCCGCCGGAGGCATTGGGCAACATGACCCGCGGCATCCTCGCCTACCTGAGGGATCTGCACAAGGGCGCCGAGCGCTGCTACCGGATGAAGCTGATGTTCGTGGGCAAGGAGGCCGCGGGCAAGTCCTCCCTCTCCTACTACCTCATGAACAACAAGCGCATCGAAAAGGCCCCGCTCTCCACCGACGGCATCGACATCAACAACTGGGACATCCCCGTCCCCGAGTTTGCCACCGAGTTTGCCGGTTCGTTCTCTCTTTCTCTCTCTCTCTTCTCTCTTTCAGTGTCGCTTATCGCTTTCGTTCTTTTTGTCTGCAGAAATCGCGGACAAGCTGATGAAGGACAACTGGGGCAACAAGCCCGTCACCTTTGCCGTGTGGGATTTTGCCGGCCAGGAGGTCTACTACAGCACTCATCAGTTCTACCTGTCTCGGCGGTCGCTCTACCTCTGCGTCTTCGATCTCACCGATCCCGACATCACCTCTGGTACCCCTCCTCTCTCCCTGGGCTTCGTTCTTTCGCGACGAATGGTTAGTCGCTTACCTTTTGCCTTCGCTCTTCTGCAGGCAACTTCCATCGCGTGTCGTATTGGCTGCAGAGCATCAACGCCAAGGCCAAGGGCGCCCCGATCATCTGCGTCGGCACCAAGCAGGACCTGTGCTCGCCCTCGCAGATCAACGAGACCTTCCTCAAGATGCAGGACCAGTTCTCCAGTTTCGGTGTCAAGGAGTTCATGCCCGTTAGCTGCATCTCCGGCAAGGGCATCAAGGAGCTCAAGATGGTCATCATGAAGGCCGCCCTCAAGCAGCGGACCATGGGAGAGCAGATCCCCAAGATCTATCTCGAGCTGGAGAGGATGGTCGAGCGCAAGAGGGTCGAGCTGGCCTACCTGAAGAAGCCGCCCACCGTCTACTTCGAGGAGTTCCGGGTCATGGCCATGAACATTCCCAAGCTCGAAGACGAGGTAGGCACACATGCAGCTACTAACACATGCACCGCACGCATCACGCGCACCATCGTCGCTGCGACTCACACTTATCTTTCCTTCGCCTTTTACAGGAGGAGTTGATTCGTGCCATGGAGTTCTTGAACGAGCTGGGTTCGCTCGTGTACTTCCGCAAGGCCGGCCTCTCCGACATCGTCATCCTGGACCCGAGGTGGCTCACCGAAGTGATGGTACATTGTAGCGCCGCGCCCGTGCGTTGTCTGCTAGAGGAGAGCCCAGGACCCTGGGCTAACCTCTTCAATTTTCGTGTTGCCGCCTCACCCTTCAGGCCACGGTGGTGTCTTCGAAGACGATGCTCGAGAAGGGCATCCTTCAACACAAGTTCCTCTTCAACCACATCTGGAAGGGCGACCAATATCCCGCCTACCTCCACCCTCACCTCCTCCTGCTCCTTGGTGCGTACATGGTTTGATCTTTATTATTATTATTCTTGTTATTACAATTATTGCCGATTATTACTTATTCACAAATACGACCAAATGTTGAAAATTAATTGATGTTTGTCTTTGGTTGTGCAGAGAAATTCCAGATCACGTTCCGCCTGCGACGGAAGCGTATCGTGTTGCGTGCGGTGGAGGACGTCACCGGCCGCACCCAGAACCAGCTCTCGTTCAAGGTGGGCGACAAGATCATGCTCCTCGAGAAGCCCAAGGTCGGCCGCTGGTGGAAGGGCATGCACAACGGACAGACCGGCTACTTCCAGGCCAACCACGTGGAGGACACCGGCCAGCCGCCCGAGTTCACCCTCGAGGACGAGTCGCTGGTGCCGTGCCTGCTCACGCCCGAGCCCCCGCCCGGCCTCCTCGAGAAGGAATGGCCCCTGGCCGACGAGACGGCGCCGCTGCAGATCGGCCGCGTGTGGCGCTTCAGCTTCCTTCCGCTGCCCTTCTTCCCCCAGGTCATCGTTCGCCTGCTCCACAGCGGCGAGAGTCGGTTCGTGCTAGCTCCTCATCATCATCATCATCATCATCATCATCATCATCATCATCATCATCATCATCATCATCATCATATTTGCTGTGACTCACCACGCACACGCGCGCCGCGCAGGTTGCACTGGAAGCATGGCATGGTGGTGGAGAACATTCGAGGTGATGCGTGGAGCTTGATTCAGGTGGACCACGGCCAGGGCACCCTCTCCGTCCACGTCCGATCGGCCAGCCCGACGGCCCTCCAAGGTACGCCGCTCATCTCAGTGCGGCTGCGGTGGTCGGTGGACGTTATTGTTGATGCATTGTATGTTATGAATCTTAGACATGATCTCGTCGGTCGAGGAGGAAGTGGACATCCTGCGCGATTGGTTTGGCGTCACCTTCACCGAAATCAAGGTCCCATGCACCCACTGCATCAGGGAGAAAAAGGTACCTACCCTTCTTGCTTGCCCACTTCTTTTCTGCGCCTCCGAGTAGATGGGCTAACCTACGCTCTCTCTATACTCCTTTAGAAGGACGTATATTTATTCACCCTCGATGAGTGCGAGTTGGCGTCGGCCGAGGACAGGAAAGTGCTCATCTGTCAGAGCGTACGTTCATTCTCGAGAGATGAGAGCTGCAAGCTAATGGGTTTGAGTGATCGACCATACACTTGAACTCACCAACTCGCCAAACTCGTACAGGGCGTCATTGGTCGAATTGAGGTGCCGCTGACCGAGATCGTGCCCGACATCGCCATGGCGCAGTACAAGAAGGTCGCCTTCTCGAAAATCGAAATGGGTCCAGTCATCGGCCAGGGTAACTCTCGCTGACCGAAATTCTTTCCCCCCTTCCCGCGGTCTTGTTCCGTTGACCGCTCACTTGCCCATCCTCGCTACGACACACACACACACACCACAACACACCGTACTAGGTGCCTATGCGGATGTATATAAGGCCACGTACGATGGCAAGACGGTGGCTGTAAAGAAACTCAACAACGCCAAGGGCTTCAAGGAATTCCGCGCGGAGGTCAAGTTCATGAGCGTGGTGGATCACCCTAACATTGTGCTCCTCAAGGGCATCTGCCTCAACCCACCCTGTATCATAACCGAATTCATGGAGCTCGGTACGGACCCGACACCAGCTCACCAGCTGGCACCAGCACTGAACTTTTTTTATTTTCATTTTCATTCAGGAAACCTCCACTCGTACCTGGACGACGCGAACAACAAGCTGACGTGGCAGCAGAGCATCAAGATCGCCGAGGATGTGGCCAAGGGCATGCACTTCCTCCACTCCCAGTCCCCCGCGCGAATCCACCGCGACCTCAAGTCCCCCAACATCCTGGTACGTCGCCCGCAGTCCTCATTTCGCGTTTCGTTCTTTGTCATCTGGGTTCTCTCTGACCTGTTCTTACGGATCTCCTTCTTTCTTTCGATCGCAACAGCTTTGCCTGGACAGCGAAGGCCGCATCATGGCGAAGGTGGCCGATTTCGGTACGGCGCGCTCGCTGGCACCCACCATTGCCGGCCGCACGGTCGACAACCCCATCTGGCTCGCGCCCGAGGTCATGCGAAACGAGGAATACACTGAAAAGGTACCCTCTCTCTATAGTGTCATTCACTTTCCTGGCGTCTCAAGCCATCAGAATTGCTGACTGCTGCAAATGTCTCAGGCGGACGTGTACTCGTACGGTATCATCCTGTACGAGATCTACACGCGCAAGTTCCCGTTCGGCAAGAAGACCCGCTTCCAGATCGAGCTCGAGGTCGTCGACGGCAAGCGGCCGGACCTCCCCGACGATTGCCCGCCGTTCTACATGTGCGCGGCTCTCTTCTGTGTGTGTGTGTGTGTGTGTGTGCGTGTGTGTGTGTGTGTCATACTCAAGCTCGATCACACAGGGACCTGACGACATCGTGTTGGTCGGGCATCCCGTCGGAGCGGCCGGCCTTCCAGACGGTGCTGGAGAAGCTCAAGTCGTCCCTGCCCGTGACCTATCGCGCCCTCGCGCCGTTCAGTGCCGAGACGCCGATCAGCGTGCGCGTGGACGTGGGCGACGTGGTCTACCTCGAGCCCGACAGGAAGAAGCCTCTCAGCAGCGCCGACGTCATCAGCGTCAAGTGCACCCACCGCGCGCAGACCATCTTCCTCCCCTCGGACTTCCTGCAGACCCACTGCGAGTGTGTGCCCTTCGAGGACTACTTCTTCAACACCTACCAGCAGCTGCAGACCGCCCCGCTGGTGCGGACGTCGTCGGCGACTATGCCCTCGTCCCCACTGTCGTCTACCTCCTCGCCCATCTCCTCGCTGAACTCGAGCACCGACAAGAGCAGGTACACATATCACATTCTATATATGCTCTATATTTCTATGTTGTGTCTATATGTCTATATGTACAGCAGCATAGCAGTATGTACGGTATCCAGGCAAGCTTCGGATTCTATCCAGGTCTATATATCCGTATATACATCGATCTATATATATATAGGTGTCGCCTGAGTGGCTCATCACTTGAACGCCGGCATGGGCCACAGTCCGCTGCTGCCCTCGGCGTCGGTCTCGCTCCCGCCACCGCTCGTGCTGCCGCCACTCGGCAGCATGAACACGACCGACGGCGCGGTGGAGCTCTTGCTGAGCCCGCTGTCGAACACCGGCGAGCGGAGCGTGAGCTTCATCACCAGCGCCGGGCCGATCCTCCTCGGCAAGAAGGCCGCCGCGGTCCTCCTCTCGCCTCGCGTACTCCACTACGAGCGAGTCGAGCGCATCACCGCCGAACGCGAGCGGAGCGGCGGCTCCGCTGGCGGCCTCTTCGGCCTCCACAAGATGGAGCAGGACAAGAGGTACACCATGAGCGCATACGCGTGCGGCTATCCATCCATAAGCCGACTAACCACTGACCCACTGCTAATTTTCTCTCCCTCTTCTCGAGCGTGTGTGAGTGATTGCGTGCGTGCGGGAGTGGTGGTGTCTCATCATTTTATAAGAGCTATATTTTATTAAGATAAATATTGCTCGCATGCTGCCTACTGACGTGGACTTGTCCGGGTGACAGCAGGTCGGCGTCGTACCGGCTGATGCAGAAGAACAACATCCCCAAGAAGCCGGAGGACAAGGATCGTGAAGGGCGCGAGCGCGAGCTCAAGGAGGAGCAGGACGACGAGACCAAGTCGCGCCTCGACGACGTGTCCGAGGAGACCATTCTCGCCGAGTACGGCTTCCACCGGATCATCGACGAAGAGGAACAGGTACCAGCGCTGCCCCCTCTCAAGCATTCTTGACATTCTTGTGCAGCTGGGCTCATGTGTCTTGTGGCGCGTGACAGCCGAACACGATACTGCCCCACTTTGCCAAGCGGCTGGACAACAACCCGACGCTGCTCAACCCGCACGAGGTGTTGATCGCGGTGCAGCTCATCTTCCTGCCGGAGCGCAACCTCGTTCTGTCGCTCAAGAAGCAGGGCGCCGACAACCTCGGCCAGGGAATCACCAAGGCCATCACCGAATCGGGCAAGATCTGCGCTCCGCCCGGCGAGGACGCCAAAGAGAGGTCAGTCTCCGTTTTCGTTTTTCGTTTTTGTATTTGTTTTCGTTCGTGTGCTGACGACGTCTGTTATTTTTGTGCAGAGGGTGGTTGGTCGGAACGGTGCAGCAGATCGGTGCTGCGCTCCAGGGCAAGCTCGACATCAAGGAGGGCGACAGAGTCATCCCGATCTACTCGCTCTCGTCCATTCCCATCAAGCTCACCTCCATCGACAACGTCATGGGTACGCACGCAGCACGCGAGTGTGCGAACACAATCGTGCAGTGGCTCATCACCACCTCCGGGGGGTTCTGTGTGGCGTGACCACAGGCGAGCGGTTCATTTTTGCCAAGGGCACCGCCGTGGCTTTCGCGCGCTCCACGTTCGCGCTGCCCCCGCCCGAGTTCGAGATGGACGTGGCCGCCGTGGCGGTCGACGTCGCTTCGTGTCTCTCCCAGATCGAGCGTGCTGCCACGACGGGCACCATGGTGATCATCGGACTGGGCAAGCTGGGCCTCACGGCTCTGTGCTTCCTCCGCAAGGTGGTCCCCGCGGCCAGGATCATCGCCATCGACAAGGACGACGCCCGTCTTGATGCCGCTCGCGCCCTCAAGAAGGCCGACATTGTGCAGAAGATGTACGATATCAATCACCTCGTGCGTGTGCTGCGCGTGCTGCGCGTCAGGCTCATCGTTTTGTGAACGAACGTGTGTCGAACAGAAACGCGCGGAACTCGGCCGAGGTGCTGTCCTTCGTGCGACAGTCGAGCAGGGGCGGAGCCGACGTCGTGCTCCACTGCACCAGGGCCGTGGGCCTCGAGTCGTCCGCCATCCTCTCGGCCAAGCGGGGCGGCTCGGTGCTCTTCTGCCGGCAGAACGCCGACCCCGGCCGAGTGTCGCTCCTGGCGCCCAGCAACGACGTCAGCCTCGTGACCACTGGTACTCACCCTGACCTCTCCCCCTTAGCCTCTCTTGCTTCGACTGATGATGATTGTTGTTGTTGTGTTGCACGGAAGGTGGAGCGGTGTCGAACGCTCACGTGCAACGCGTGTTTGAGCTGCTGCGAGCGGAGATGGAGCTGCGAAAGCACTTCATCGCCTATGCCCGTTCCACAGTCGTCAAATGAGCTCGGCCGGCCGGCACCGACCAGCTCCCCTCCAAAGAGATTGATCTCTTTTCCTTGTCCCTGTCTCAATATTTAATGCAACGTTACCCCCAAGCTTCCTGATTTATTTATTTATTTTAATCAGAAAGAGCAAGATGGAAACCAAGCCTCAATTCATTGGTAACGCCTCTCATCTTCACAGAATTTTGTACTCGCGAAGCGTGAGGCACTGACAAAACTCGGCTGTGGAGCAGATATTGGTGCCAATCTAACTGGTACGAATAAAATCGTGAATCTTGATTATAATTCTGCGCAGCATGATTTGATAGACTGGCTCTGCTCGCAGATGAATCCTTTCGTGGCCACTACAACGGCAAGCAGTACCATCCAGATGACTTCGAGGCCGTACGGCGCCTTCCCGCCACAGCAGTTCAGCTCTTCGCCGCATGCATCACTCTGAGGTGTGGTTGCCGTGGCACAGGTGCTCGGGCGAGCCTGGGAAGCAGGTGTGGAGCGGGTGATGGTCACCGCTGGCCGGCTGCAGGAAGTCAAAGAGGCCCTGCAGCTCGTCGACAAGCACGGTACGGAACACATCAACAATCACCGCACACACGCCACACACGTGCGGCACCAACACTTGCACATCTGACATGATTGTACAGATCGACTTTACACGACTGTGGGCGTGCACCCGACGCGCTGCGATGAGTTCGAGGCGTGGGAAGGCGGCGCGGAGGACTACCTCCAGCAGCTCCTGGCGCTTGCTCTCCCCGAGGGGAAGCCGCACCCCAAGATCGTCGCCGTGGGCGAATTCGGACTCGGTACGCGCAGTGCAATCGATGTGCGACGCGCATGTTTTTTGACTCTTCGCGAGCTCTCGCCGTAGACTACGACCGGCTGCAGTTCTGCTCCAAGGAAACGCAGCTCAAGTACTTCGAGGCTCAGTTCGAGCTGGTGGAGAAGACCGGCCTGCCGCTCTTCCTGCACATGCGCAACGCTTGCGATGACTTTATCGAAGTCGTGAAGCGGAACCGCCACAAGTTCTCGTACGCGCAACTACATCCACATCAGCAGCCTCGGCTCTACAGTCATGCTCTCTCTCGCCGCTCACAAAATCGCGCGCTGATGTGCAGGAATGGTGTGGTCCACTCGTTCACTGGCACGATGGAGGAGATGCAGGCCCTAGTGGCGTTGGATCTCTTCATCGGCATTAACGGTTGTTCGCTCAAGGTACAAGCCTGCGAGCGGGTGGTGTGGGCTATGTGCGTGTGCCGCGCTCTCTCACCCAGATGAACTCCACGCAGACCAAGGAGAACCTGGACGTGGTTTGCGCCATCCCCGAAGACCGAATAATGATCGAAACAGGTGCACAGCCTCCTCCCTCGTATTCATGCACCCGGCCTCAACAGCTCAACCACACGCTTGTGCTGACGATCCGTGCCCGAACGGCACCACCTCAGATGCGCCCTACTGCGACATCCGAAACACGCACGCCGGCGCAAAGCTGGTGAGCACCAAGTGGCCGAGCGTGGTACTTGCTTCCGTCTCACTGGTGTTCAGGCAAGGCAGTCTCTTACGCCCTGAATTGCAATTCAGGACCGGAAGAAACACGACACCAACAAGATGGTGAAGGGACGCAACGAACCCTGTGCAGTCAGGTGCGTGATTGTGCCGGTCTGCGCTTTGGTGTGGGTCGACCCACAGGGCGTCACTCACGTTTCGTGTGGCGACTATCCTAGACAGGTGATGGAGGTCGTGGCTGGCGCGCGAGGCGTAGGGTTGGAGGAGCTGGCTGCCAAGATCCACACCAACACCAGGCGCGTGTTCTTTCCCTGAACGAACCAACCAAGAACTGATCTGTTAGCCCAAAGTCCCAATCCATCAGCTGCCACGGGAGTGGTTGCAGACCACATACCAAAAGAGTTCTCGTTGTGAACCAGAAATAGTTCGGAATTTGTTTCACTAAAAATTAAGAAACAAAAAATCAAGAATCAAAACAAATCGAACCTACACTGATGGAGAAAGGAGACAGGAACAAGAGGGTTCGAGCGGGAGGAGGATCTGCAGCCCCCAGAGGGCGGGGTGGTGGAAAGGCTAAAAGCGTTTACGTCGCTTCCGTTCCTTCCACGTCCTCTACGTCTTCGTCCTCTACTCGAGAGATTACCGCTAAGTCTTCAGCCACGGCGTTCGGCGTGGGTCGCCAGGTGGTCTTGGCCACCACCGACACCGGCGTGGGTACTCTTCGCTCCACTTATATTTATTTTATGGTTTATTTTCTCATTTTCTCCTTTCTCATTTTTATTAAATAGATGCCTACGAGCTGAGGCAGAGTCCTCCGGTCCTGCTCTCCGATGAGCTCGTGCGCCAGTTCATCGTCGAGGGCTATCTCATGCTCCAGCCCTCGGCCCTCCCCGCCAGCTTCCACAACAACCTCTACGCCCGGGTACTGCTTTGCGAGCCAACCGTGTGCTGTGCTTGAGGTCCCACCTTCTTCCCTGACTTACACCCCTCTTGCTCCCCCCAACCAATGGTGGTCGCCAGGTGGATGCCCTCAACTCCAAATGGAAGGACAATGTGGGCAACAACATCCTGCCCACGATCCCCGAGCTGGATCTCGTCTTCGAGGATCCCACAGTGCGAGGTCCGGCCAACGACGTTCGCTTGCTATCATCACCAGCGCCAATCCTCACTCTTACTTTCTCTGGGGTATCCAGGCGCGCTACAGAGCGTGTTGGGTCAGGGCTACATGATGCACGCACACAGGCATTGCCACGACCGGTATGTGAGCTCCCCGCTCCCTCGTTTCGTAGACGCCATTCTTGCTTGACTGTAGCGGTCGTTCGGTGTGACAAAGGCGCCCCGGATCGCGAGCCCAAGATTGGCACAAGGACAGCTACTGGGGCTTCAACACGATACGACACCACTACCCGCGGTTCGTCTTTTATTCCGCCAAGCACGTAGATGTCTTGCTGGGATGATTCAAGCTAACGAGACGACTCTCACGCAGGTGGGTCATGGCCATGTACTACCCCCAGGACACAACCATGAGCATGGGTCCGACGGGCCTGTTGCCAGGTAACACTCGTTCTCACTCGTCCGATCTGCTCCTTGCCATCTTTTGGATGCGTGCCGCAGTCAGCTCACCTCCACTCGGTTTACCCTGGTACTCGCGCAGGCACGCAGTACAACTCGTTGCCTGTTGAAAAGAATCGCCACCTCAAGTCGAGCGAGATTCCAGCTGCATGGGACACAGGCGAAGTCGCCGCCACATGCCCAGCTGGTACTGCTCTCCTCCTTCTCTACAAATTACAAGACGGCTAAGCACTGTGTTGGCCATCCTTGGGCGGCCTCACCGTTTTCCCGTAACCAGGAACTGTGGTATTGATCCACTACGACCTGTGGCACGCCGGGCTGGAGAACTACAGCACAGACCCCAGCCA